CCCGAGCTTTTTCATGCCTGCTTCTACCTCCATAAAGAGACTACCTGGTGGTCGTTTCATCATAGAACCAATGCATTTGATCTCGCAACTCCGAAATGTTGTGCATGAGGAGGTTGGGAATGTGAATTTTTATATTTCCTTAAATCTTTAAGCAAACTTTTTTCTGATGGTGTTGTGGTTCCCATTGAATGGAAAGATATAGATTTGGGGGCTTTCAAAAAATCTCCGTACGTAAAAAGCTAGCCCCTAGGTGAAAAAGATATCCAAAGGAGGAAGACGTTGAGACTCTTAAAGCTCAACCTATTTTCTTCATTCTTTATATTTATGGTACATTTGTTTATTGTTTGTTCATATTATGGAATTTCCTTATTATTTATGTGTTATTCTTTTGCAGCTTACTCGCGTTTTGGAGCATGTATGGACATTTAGAGAATGCCCTATTTTCCACGAGGTTGCCACCGCATGCCCCTCGTCCGCAAGGTAGTGTGGTGATCCGCAAAATTCCCGAGGTGCCTGAGCCAACAATGTTGCATTGGTTGGTGGTTGATATAAGAGAGTGAGACATTCCTCCCTGTGTCGAGGCAAGAATCCTAGTCCGACTTCTACAAGGAATCTCGAGGTTGGTAGCTTGATTCGTCCCAACAACGAGAAAGTCCCATAAAAAAGGTGGTCTAGGCATGTCGAATGGAGGACGGGTTAGTGATCCACCAGTTTGGGACTATAGGTCCTTGTGTGCTATATGGGTGTTAATTTTTGGCCTCTTGAAGGTGAGCTAGGAGTTTTTGCTTTGCGAGGTCGCAAAATCAGATAATTTATTATTTTTAAATAATGTAGTTTTTTATGAGTTACCTAACGGTAGTGTTTCCTGCATATAAATTAGTATGTCGTAGTAATGGAGGGCATGTGGGAAGAGCAAGGTCAGAAGTTGTAACAGCTTAGCGCAATAGAATACTTGCGGAGCATGACCTTCATGGTCATACTAGGAGGTTGGAGGAGGCCACGGGTCATGTCAATGAGCTTGAGGCGCTCCTCTTGGAGGTTCAGACTCGGACAGTAATAACTTTGGAGAGGCTACGAATAACACAGGCTTCAGAAGCATCACTACTATTAGGTGATGGAGAGACTTCAGGATGAGCAAGCAGCTGATATGCAAGTTATTAGGTCAGAGTGTGCCCGGTTTCATGCTGAGGTTGTAGTGTTACAACGTCAACTGCAATAGGCATCAATAGAGACATCGGGAGGTGCCACAAGATTAAAGGGTTTGCGTGATATACTTCCAAAGGCTAAGTCTGACGAGGCACACATCCAGAGAGAGACAAACACTAGAGTTGGAGTCGTTCCATCCGGGGAGATGGTGATCTTATGATAGAACGAGGAGATTGAGTCTTTTATTGCAGCCCCAATGTTTGGCAAAACTTCTACGACTCAATACTTTGTTGTTGCATGGATAGCCCAATCCCGAAAAAAAGCTCGCGATGTAAGCCGTGAACCGAGGTGAATTTGGATAGAATACTTGATTATGGTCCTCATATGTAACATAGTGTAGCTCGCGGTGCTAGCATATTTTTCTCTGTATAGGTAGTATCTTGCTCCGCATATGTATTCAGATATATCACCTATTTATAGTGATGACACTTTATTTATAGTGTTTATCACTCTCATATTTGATATATTTCCCCCTTCTATGAATGCATATTTAGTGGCTTTGATGATATTTCATATGGAATTCATAACTATTTGGATAATGAGCTTATGAGAGACCTTGAGTGTGTTTTTGTACTATTTGATGCATTTATGGAGTTGTTTTGTGATTTTCAAGATGAATATGGATCACCAAGGGATCCAATGGATCAGAAGGAAGGAGGACGATAATACAAGATGATGGTCTCAAACAAAGTTGGATTTGGACATCGGATGCTCACTTTATGACCAAAGCAAGCAGATTTGGTAGTGCCTAGTCAGGTAAACTCAACGATGCTTGCTTTAATTCCTAAAGTTGCAAATGCGGATGAGAAAATATTTCAGACCGATTTCTTGTTGTGATGTGTTTTATGAGGGTATCTCAAAGCTTTTATCAAATAGACTATTTGTTTTGCTTCCAACAGTAATCCATAAAACTCAATCTGCATTTGTTAGGGGGAGACTCATCGGTGACAATATTTTAATGGCAATAAAATTGGTTTAAGACTGTCATAGCAAGAATATCTCATCTAGGTGTGTGTTGAAAATTGATCTATGAAGGCATTCGATTCGGTTCACTGGAACTTGTTGTTCATTGTCTTAGTTGCAATGAGATTTCCTACTGAGTTTGTTAGATTAATTGAAGTATGTGTGACCACACCAATGCTGAGTGTGGCTTTTAATGGTGGCCTTTGTGAGCATTTCGCTGCTAGAAAGGGACTCCATCAAGGAGATTCACTCTCCTCTTATTTTTTCACAGTAGCCATGAAGTTTTTGTTGCTTAAAGAAGAGAGCAGTTGAAACATAACATATACCTTATAGAAATCACTCACTTGTGTTTGAGGACCATCTCCTACTGTTTTTTAATGGATCAATCTGGACTGTGGCTAGGGATGACAATGGGCCAGGTTGGTTTGGGTTGGCCAAGCCAAACCCATGGATATATCCACCAAAAAACTCGGGGTAAAATCCATTGGGTTTGGAAAACTCAAACCCAACCCAACCTCCTTTGTATCCGCGGGTTTCTGGATACTCATGGGTTATGTGGTAAAAAATGCACAATAACAAATTCATGTTAAAATAAAAGTCTAACATAATTCTTCTCATACAAATTATCCAAACAAAAAAATATCAATCTAGAGCATACAGCAAACCACAAAGTATCCACATAATTTGTTCAACTATTAAGATAAACATCCATAAACAACATGATTAATTGAAAGCTTATTCTTCCTTGTCAACTAAGCTTCTTCACTTTCCTTTTATTTTTGGAATTAGGATGGGTGACTTACTGAATGATTTGTGATTGGGGACGGGTATGGGTTGGATATAGCTAAACCTGTACCCAACCCGCAAAACCGTAAACAAGTTTAAACCCGAACTCGACCCATAATCTGTCAATGCGGGTTTTATCGGCGTTGACCGGGTTGGGTTGGGTGGGTGTGGTACTCATTGATTCGGATTATGTTGACATCCCTAGCTGTGGGCAACCTATGGCAAGTATTAAACGATTGCTTGATAAGTTTAACAAAGATTCAAGGCTTAAGTTCAATTTATCTCAGTGTAATATGTTTTGTGATGGGATTCCTGTGGAAGAAAAAGAGATGATTTCACAGCACACACGGTTCCCATTGGAGATTCTGCTTGTCAGTTATCCCGGGGTCCCTCTAATAACAAGTAAAGGGGAAAAGATAATCTGCTAACTTGAAGATTCGTTAGCATATACTAACTGATATCCAAAATACATGAATTGATATCCAAGTACTAAAATATCTAGGGAGCACAGACTAGTATTCAAAGTTTGCTAACTGATATCCACCATGAATCAACTATTATCCCAAATTCACAAACTAATATCTAGACAACACAGAATAGTATCCAAACAGCACATAATTAGTATCCAGATTACACATAAGAGTATTCAGATAACCCAGTATCCATATTGAATACTAGTTGGTTGATTGTGGATATTAGTTGGTATCTGCAATCTGGATACTAGTTTGTGATGTTTTGAATACTAGTCTATGCTATCTAGATACTTAATAGATTTGGATATTAGTTCGTACATTTTGAATATTAGTTAGTATATACTAACGAATCTTCAAGTTAGCAGAATAACTAGGCCGCAAGTAAAGTGTCAGCAGGGGACTGTCAAGCACTGGTTGATAAGATAACATCTAGGATTCATAAATGGCAGGAAAGTATGCTTAGTTATGATGGTAGATTGCAGCTTGTTTCCACTGTGATAACAAGCATTATGCAGTACTGAATCTGGATGACTCTTTTCTTACTACCTTAGAACATGCTCAAGGAAGTGGAGATGATTTGTAATATATTTCTTTTGGGGGGTGGGAAGGGCTGACAAGAGGGCAAGGGCTCTGGTTGCGTGGTCTAAAGTTGCTTTGCCAAGAGCAGAAGGGGGCTGGACATTCGTGATTTCAAAATGTGGAATCAAACATGTGTTATACCACACATCTAGAATATATTAGCCGAATTTGGTTCATTATGGGGTTATGTGGATCAAAAGATACAAACTTAAGCATAGAGCAATATAGAATGTTCATGCATCGGCAACGTGATCTTGTGTATGGCGACACATACTAAAGTGTCGAGACAGTGTTCAGTCGTTGCTCCTATAGCTTCAGTGTTCTGGTTACAGTTCTTGGGAGGAGTTGTAAGGTTCCAAAGATTATCATCATGGGAAGATCATTTAAAGGCTATCATTAAGTGGACGGGAAGAATGATGTTCTTGCAGAAGGGAGGTTGTTGTTACTTGTTAAGCCAATTGTTGTTGAGTGAGAGGTGCAGAAGATGTTATGGAAATGTTCACATCAGTACTCCTGAGCAGCTGACAGGAAGAATTAGTGTTGATTGTTGAAGCATGCTGGTTGAATACAAAGCTGTACAGTCCCACCAAATTAGAGTGCAGGTTTAACAATAGTCAGTATACATATTGTAGAAGCAGCACTGCAGCAGTATATTCGTAATGGTTTTAAGTTTTCAAATTGGTTGTAAAGCTGAAAACTGATGTATCCATGAGGAGTTTGCAGGTTGCAGAGAGAGGCATGGACCAATGCAATGGTGTAAAAAAAAAGGCATTTTTTGGTCGTTCTTAATGTCAATCGTTAAGTAACCATAATATATTGATAAACCGAGTGACCAAACATACAATCCACCCCTTAATTCATCTGGAAAGACAAGAATAAAACTCGAGCTCTACTGCTGTGTTTTATTCGAAAGAATGCAACGCGCTCAGGAAGTCAATGAGTAGCGCATCTTCTGCTCCAAGAACAGCAGTGTTTTGGTCCATCGGCTTTCAACTACCCTTCTTCCCAGTCTATATCATCATCCTCGTCCTCTGGAGTAGCCTTTGCTTCCTCGTTCAAATCATGCACCCTGTAACTTTCGCTCGTCTCGTTACCTGTTGCCAATAGAATGCCCAAAACAAAACCACAGTCAAAATCCAATCTTCCAATCATTTACTCAAACCCACAGAGCCTCAGCACATTAAACTAAACTAAGACAGAAACAACTATAGCCTATGTACAGATACAACAGAAATGGACGGACTATCATAGTGTAATATCAAGAATAAAACAAGGAGATGTGGCTTTAGCTATTTAATAATTTGTGAGTTTCCTGGCGAACAGTGGAACTTCTTTTTCAGACAAAACAAGCACACTCAAAGCTACTGTTTTTTTTAGCCAAAACGAACACCCAATTAGAACTCTCACCTCCCAGTGGGGCCTCTTCCCAGTCGACATCATCATCTCCCTCATTGTCTTCACGCTTGAACTTCATCCCGACTTGACGTTGTGGCGAGGATTCATAAGGACCATTCAAATCTGAAGTTTCCAGCACCTCCTGTTGCTTATTTGCAGCTTCTAGCGCTGCTTGTTGCTCCAAGATCGCAGCATAATAAGCTCTCGCGTACTCGTCCTGATAACAGAACATCAAAACCTTAGTTTAGTACAATTGACCAACCTATTTCTTCTTAGTAACTACAATGTAAAACTAATGCCTTAACCAACAAAACGGACCTGTAAACTCTTTTTCTCATCATCTTCAGAGACAGTTTTCTTGTCATCTGAGAACCCTGATGATGAGCTGCCATCCATCTTGGACTCCTGCTTCACCTCTCCTCGTTGCTCCTCTGTGAGGTTCATTCCTTGTTTTATCATCCATGGTGGTAATACTTTTAGCCCTGCGCCTGCACTTACAGATTTGGCATCCTCTTCCTTGCCATCAACACCAGAAAAAGCAACCTCAACCTGCCACAACCACCAACCAAATGCTTACAGAAAAGTTTCAAGTGGAACCGACAAGTTCTAGAAGTAACGAATTCGCAAATCATCATTTCCCATCTTTTTTTATGGAAAAGGAAGCTGAAAGATCAGTTATGAAGATTAATCACTCAAACAACCAATCAAAACGAACTCATAGCATCATATATGTTCCTTTCTGATTTTAACTAGATTACAAAGGGCGGGTACAACTACAGATTGGAACGATGAAGAGAATTATGACTACAGACATAATACCGCACCAAAGCTAACTTTGGAGAAAATATCTAACCCACTAAACATAGACAGCACAAGATAATTAAAGAACTTTCTAAACTTGAACTCGATATTAGCAAAGGAGCTGTAAGAGAAAAAAGCAATACCTTCGTCTCCCCAAGATATAGCAATGGTACTCCACCATATCCTTGTGATGACTTTGAAGGATCATTGGAATTAGATCCATTTCCAGCACGACCAGCAGCACTTGCTCTAGCCTCCCATGCTAGGAGATTTCCAAACTCAGGAATAGGAATATCTTTCACTAGGTTCAGTTGCTCAATTAGTGGCTTAAGTTGCGTCTGTTACCATTTATATGCCCACCACGTGAAAGTTAAAATATGAACACAATGAAAGGATATGTTCCAGTAACTCTAAATGCATAGCCTCACACTAAATGTGTGAAAAAACTAACGGCCCATAAAAATCATTTTAAAATTGCAATGATTTGAGATAAAGGATACATTTGACAATTCAACAAGTACTTCTATATGAATGTAAGGAAGTACTCAACAATTTAGTCAAGAAGGGTTATCTAGTGAACTGTGAAGCCAACGTCACCATAAAAACGAAACGCATTCCATTCCAGTCCTACCTTTCTAATCTTGTTCTGAAACAAAAACAGGTTGACTCTGAAGAACTAGAGTAACTGTTATTCGCAAAAATAATAAAATAATAAAACACCCAAATCTTAACATTGCCAAATCTTAACTACTAGAAAGAAAGAAAACAGTATGAAAAAACTGGGGCCTCTATGATTCATGCCTATAGGGACACATGGGGAGAGGCTTTAAGGCAAATTTCGGAAAACTACACATTAAATCGAACCCACTTCACTAATGTACACTACCCTAAAGATATGAATTATTATTGACAATATGCATTTTTCTGAATTCACATCAACATCACTGCATGTCCTCTTTGCATGATCAGCATGACAGCAATCTACACCTACAAGCAGCACAGTCAAACTGAATAGCTAGAGAGGAAAACATACATCCATTTTCTGAAGCATGTCCTTTATTTTTTCGCGCCTCCTCCTCCTTGCATTATCATCTGCATCTCCTCCTTCTGGAACAGATAACTTATCGCTCTCTGCCACAAGTTCACCATTGCAATTTTCACAATGGAAAAATTCATCTTCCATGGAAACCAATCGCAGGGCATCCAGAGCATTGTATCTAAATCAGAAAAATACTAAGTTAAGAAGCAACTTCATACTCGTTACATTATAACTGGAACAACCATCACAATAAATCAATAGCAGTTAATTTTTTTTTTTTACAAATGGAGTAGGTACCTTCTCCCGCAGTTGGGGCACACATACTCTTGAATTGTATTTTTCCCTTCCGATTCATCCCTCAATTTCTTCCTCATGCGCTGCAATCTGTACCTGACAACGTCATATATCTGCCATGCAAATTCTAGCTCAGATATTCAGTAGAGCATAATTCATAAAGTATAGAGTGCACAAGCAAATACAAAAAAGAAAATCCAAAATGAAAGGTTGAGCATGCAGGGATAGACAACACAGATAGATGAAAGGAAAAATGGGAGAACCTGTGCGTAATCCAGGCAGCAGTATGAGTGCGTGTGTAGCTTAACCTTATCATCCCCTTCTTTACCATGTTGAACCTCAGTAGTAGCCGCTACTGCAGCAGTGTATAACTTTGCACCTTTTGCCGTCTGTGAAGTAAGTTTAAAGCACCCAACAAAGTATATTAATAAAAAAGGACATAATAGGAAGATAGTAATTGTAACTCAGTTCGATAGGGTTTGTAACAGGCAATATATGACAACAGCTACAGTACACTTTGTCATCAAAGAATTCAATTGTAAAGTAAGTTTGTAACCGAGTTAAAATCATTAATCTCACTTTCAAAACACTATCATATCTATCAACTTCAGGTTCCAGTTTGTAGTAAAAAAACATGCAAAACCAGAGGGATAAACACATATAAATTTTCAAGGTAGCAGATACATCGAATTGATGGGAAACAAATGTTAAAAGAAAGGTACACAAACATAGTACACAGAAAGATAAAACCACCACATTGATTATTAGGAACTTTGTAATAACTCTAGCTTGAAGTAGACAATAACCTTCCTACATATCAGCAAGGAACAACTATATTGCTCTGGTAATGGAAGATATGAGCCACAAGTATAAAAGCACCTCGTGATTGGTGGCTAACTCCTATAAATACAGGATTTCTCTAAGACCATAACTATCTAAAGTTACAATGTACAATCAGTGGCTAATCTTCACTAAATACTAAATAGTAATGGAACTGACTAACTGATACATAGCAGCACATCCAAACACTATCCGATATGTAAAAGTTAACTTGAACTAAGATAAAACCCAACCTCTTTCCTATGATCACGAGTAACCAGCTTTTCTTCTTCGAAAAACCGCAGTGTGCGCCGGAGTTGCTTTGTGTGTATTTTTAAATCCTTCGCCAGATCCTCTTCTCTGACCCATTGGCGTCTATGTTACAACAATTAAAAACTGAAACTAATTATATTGAATATTAAGTAGTAATTCCCCACGACAAGACACTAGAAAGTCAGCATAGAAATACATATACTGAGCAACGAATACTGGTACGCAATAATGAAAAATTATTGCTCTGTAAGTGAAACAGGTAGGCAAGCATATTAACGGAACTTCTGCCACTAGCACTGAGCATTTCAAACCAAAATTTTAGAACTTGTATTTACAAGACAGCCCCAACATGTATCACTGCAACCATGCCTAAGTGAACATGCACAGCTATCCAGCCAGCAACAATTTGTATCTATATCTAACTTCTGAAAGAAGAACAATAAATCAAAAGACAGAATAAGATATTCAATTCTTACCTGGTGAGAGCATCGAGAATCACCACCGCCATTCCTCTGTTATCACTACGCCCAATCTTTTGTTGATTATCTCCCTTTGTTGTGTAGTCATCATAAAACGCCCTAGCCGCTAGCTTCACTAACCTATATTCATTGTTCCATTTTTATGATCACTTTTCTACCACAAGAAAATGAGAAATTAACCAGAAACAAAAAGCCATAGCAGCACTCAAATGCAATCTTATAAAAATTATGCAGCAATGAAACTAAACAAATTGCACAACTGCGGAGAACGAATTCACCTGTTGAAAGGTTCAATGCTCATGTTAGTAGAACGGGAGCACCAATCAGTAGTTGCACATACAATTTACTTCAGAGCATTCGCTTTGTTTTGTATCCCAACTTTCTCTTGGACCTTCGCAAGCTGTGGCACTGAGACAAGTGCAGAGGATCTAAATTACAATCAAAAGAAATCTTCGCACAGTTCCTGGATTTAAGCCAAAATAACATGGCTGCTGGTGCATTCTATCACTGCTTTAAAAAAATGATGATACTTAAGCATGCATCACTGAGAAAATATATTACATAATCTAGTGAATGGTGACGGAATTAGCCTAAGCGGTAAGGCACAGATCAACATGACTCATAGAAAATAGCAGAATGACCACACAATTAATCAACAGATTAACCAAACAAGCTTGTGAGACTGAAACATGAGATCTTATTCACCACTAAAATATAAAGTATGACACTTGACAACCCTCTGTACAACCTTTCAGAAAGATAACCCTTTACTGATTCTCCAGCACAAATTACCATTGTACGTCGTACAAATTTCGCTCCCGTGAACTAAGGGTTGATTTCATTTGTTATCCGTTCAGCTTAAGTAGAGCTCAACTTACTTCTACGTTACCTAAGTATATTTTGCGTCGGCTTCATGAAATAGATCTAGAACCGGAACGGTAAATCCGCAGCCCCGAACCAAGAAAGAAACGAGGGATCTCGGGAATAAGAGAACCAACAGCGGGCACGGGCATCTGCAAATTCATTGCGGGGAGAAGTAGGGATATTTGGAATTACCAGGTCGAGATTGGTAGCGTCGAGAGGCAGACGATCAGAAGAAGAGACGGAGACTCAGAGCTCCAGGAGTTGAAAGCAATCCGAATGGAGCTCGGTTGCCGTTAGTCTCGTTGCGTCCCTATGTTCTACTAACCCAATCTGATCTTTATGCCAAAACAAGATCAGAATGGATTTGAAATTTTCTGATATGGGGAAGGCCGACGTCGAATTTGATCGATGATTAATTGGGGAGAATCAAGAATGATAAAACCCTACTGCCATGACACATTCTTGGGGTTGTCTTGTAATCGAAAACCATAAATGAGACAGTAACCCCAATTAGAAAGAGTAGCGGGCAGCGCTTTGAAATAGAAAACGGGAGAGTCGGGGCTGCAAAAAATGAGTACTAAGCGGTAGGGTGTTCATATGGTTACCGTGGTAATCATATTAATCGGTAGCATTCGGTTAATTTGGTTTGGTTAATTTAGATAATTGGTTTGGTTTGGTTAAACAATGGGTTAATTGCAAGTTTGGTCACTGAGATTACTAAAAACGTTCACGTTTGATCATCAAAAATATTTAATTCCAATAATGGTCACTAAGATTAATTTAACAGTTCATGTTTGGGAACTCACCGTTAGTCTCCGTCTAATTCCGTTAATGTCGTCAGTCATTTGCTGATGTGGCTAACAGAAGTACTGACTCACCCAAATTTAATCTGCCACATCATCAAATCCGACCCGCCATGTCATCGTGCCCAACCCAACCATTTAACCGAACCCGACTCAGTAACCGATTCATATTAAAACAAATCTTCAAATTAAAATCCCTAATGTGTCGTCTTCTCCTCCCGACTTTCTTCCTCTTCCTTCTTCAATGGTTCACCGGCGACAAGGGAGGAATAGAACCAGACCGCTGCCTCCGACTCCCATCACTGCCCCGCCTCTCTCCCGCAAGCTCAATCTCACCATCTGCTTCTACCAGACCAAGTTTGGGAGTAAGATGAGAAACCCCTGATCGACGAGGCGGTGAAGAGGGATGACGCGCCGCCCCACCTCTGTGATTCCTGCTCCAGCTTCGAGATTCTCATCGCCCGCATCTTAAGTGTCATATCGTCGCCCTTCGACCCGATCCGGAAGAGGAGATGTGCATCATCTGCATCGTCAACGCGCGCTACAGTGCGGGGTCCGCTGCCGCTGCCGAGAGGGTACTACGGCAATGTGTTCGTGTTTCCAGCCGTAGTGGCAACCGCTGGAGACCTTTGTCGGAACTCGCTCGGTTTCGCCTTAGATCCCTGTAACTATTCTCTCCCTCTCTTCCTGCTTTGTCGATTGAAATTTCTTTTCATTTTTTAATTAATTTTGATTTTGCAACCAAAGTTTAGGAACTCCACGTTCACGAGATAAACAAATTCCCTCACTGATCTCGTCCTTACAGCCCTCCACCATAGTGGCAGGGTGCATGAACGGCACAATCCTCCACTGGCCATGAATCCCGTCGTCGGCGAGACTGGTAAACAAACTGACGAAGCTCCGGCAGGGGCAAGGGAAGTGGGAGAAGCATGGTGGTTGGAGGGGAGGGACCAAGAAGGGGATTTTGTGGAACTAGGGTTTGAAAGTGGCGGAGGAAGAAGAGGGAGATTGGGATGCGGCAAAGATAGATTGGTGATGGCGGGTCTGGGTCTCGTGAAAGGTGGTGTTGATTTTTTGGTGATGGGATCGGTTAATAGGTGGAGCCGGTTTAAAGGGTTGAGTTGGAGAACTTGACATGGCAAGTTTTAATGATGTGGCAGGTGACATGGCATTTCTGTTAGATGGCATAACACTTCTGTTTGCCACGTCAACACTTAACAGACTCTGTTAACGGAGTTGGACGGAGACTAACGGAGAGTGACTAAATATGAACTGTTAAACTAATTATAGTGACCATTATTGAATTTAAATATTTGCAGTGACCAAATGTGAACGTTTTTAGTCATCTCAGTGACCAAACATGCAATTTACCCGTTAAACAATTTAGCTTATTTTGTTTAGGTGGTTTGGTTTGGTTTCAACACTGCTAACCAATGAAACCAATTAATGATACACCTAATATACAAAATTATTTATACTTCCATGCAACCAACAAGACCAAACTTTTGTGATTCCCTATTTTATTTCAATGTGCTGATGTGCACAACAAACCAAAACATTATGGGTCAAAATTTAAATGGGTCTGCCTATTTACTAAACCAAAACATTTGGACAACTACTAGACTTTAGGATTACGTACGATACCACGACAGTCACTTCAAACTATGTATAGTTTAAGTGTTTTGTAGGAGAGCTTTAACTTTCTGATGAGGGGTATTGGCATGTATCTATGTTAAGGGGTTTGTTGTAACTTGTAAGCTAAGTAGCTAGCTATATTAGGTGCAGAGATGATGAATGATGTATTAACTCGAATGATGATGATAATCATGGATGGTTAGTCTTATTATTATTGCTTATATATAATGATAGCTTATGATAGTACAACATATGGTTATGTTTTATTCATTAACATGATAATTGTTTTCATATAATGTTATGTTATTTGGTTAATCCGATTATCCGATTAACCAAACCAATTAAACTTTGGTTTGGTTAATTTGGTTATGGTGTTAATTTGGACGGTTTGGTTAAGACATTTTATTCCATGGTTAATGAAATTTAGGCTTAATGGGTTTGGTTATTACCACGGTAACCATTTGAACACCCCAACTAAGTGGCTCCAAGTTCGGTTTTTTATTTTATTTTATACAAAAATCCTATTCAATTTCATTAATCAGAATTTGCCATTACATTGTCCAGCTCTAGTTGATTAACTAAACATAAAGAAGGACTATCAAACCAAACTATAGCATGAGACGAGAGGTTTCTCGAATGCGCCATAACATGAGCTGCTTCATTTAGTCGTCCAGCGAAATGAGCCTTCCCAATCTCCTCAAAAATTCGACGAATGTTCATGCAAACGACCCCAACTTATGTATGTATATATGCCGCTTCGCTAATCTTCTGAATCACTGGTAAAGAATCGGACTCCAATGTGGGATGTGTGACCTAAAACTGAAATGCCAACTGCATGTCATATTCAGTAGCCAGTGCTTCACTCATCTCCACCTTGAAGCTTCCTAGTACTCGCTCAGCCGCCGACAGCAAGAAAGCACCATCCAAACCGCGAATCACCACCCCCAACGTAATGCCATTTGCTTAATCAAAGCCAACATCCGTGTTAACCTTGTGAGCCCCCGGACCTGGCTTCTTCCATCTTTCTACTCGATCCCTCGAGCTTTCTTGTACCTGATGCTCGTGTTGGTGGTGTTGGTAGTCATTGAAGAAGTTCCACGCCCGCATCGCAATTTCCTCCTCCGGCGCTTTCACCCTATTAAAAAGTTGGACTTTCCTTCCACAAGAGCCACATAAAAGCACTCTACCGTACCAACTTCTCCTCATCAACGCTTTCCATCACTTGCTTCAGCCATTGAAAGCTAGTGTGAGCAGGCTGATACTCAAAGCAGTCTGCGAGCTTCGATGATCGCCATATTCGGCATGTCCATGGATAATCCCCAAAGAAATGAAGTTTCATCTTTCTCAAGTTACAAAATGGGCATTTGTCCTCACGCCGATGACTTTTCTCGCTTATATGATCCCCCGTTGTCAAGTGGCAACACATCCCTCGCAAACTTCCATAATAAATGTTTAACCTTCGATGCTACTTTCATTGTCCACAACTACTTCCAAACTGCCTCATCACCCGACGACAACACTCCCTCTTCTGCCTTAAACTCATGCAATTGTACCCGATATTCTTATTTCACCATATAATTCTCATCTTTGCTGGAGCACCAGATGAGTCTATCCCTATCATGAAGACCACGCAAGGGGATCTGAAAAATTGCCTTAACCAAATTTGACGGGAAGCAGCTCCCGAGAGTAGACAAGTCCCAGCGTTCTGTAACTGGATCCATAAGATCGCTGACCTTGCATCCACTAGCAGTCCCAGTGGTGACGACGTGACATACTAGGCTCCCTGGTTCGGAATCCACCTATCTCCCCAAATCCAGACCAAGTCTCAATTACCAATCCTCCACCGTAAACCCTTGTTTAAAAAATCTTGCGCCGCATATAAGCTTTGCCATACAAAACTAGGGTTATGACCCATATTCCCATCAAGAATGGATGACTTTTTATGATATTTTGCCCTTAAAATCTTTGCAATCAGTGACTTGGGGCGTTGATAGAGATTCCACGGCTGTTTAGCCAGCAGCTCCAAATTAAATCCCTTCATATCTCGAAATCTCATCCCTCCCTCCAATTGGGCACACTAATTCCTCCCTTCTTATCCAGTGAACCCGTCGTTCAGACCCCTTCTGTCCCCACTACAACGTGGTCATTAAGCTGTGTACTTGCTCTAAAATATCATCCGGAATTTTAAAAACCGAAGAATAGGACAATTGAGCTTGAGCCACAGACTTAATAAGAACTTCTTGAGCAGCCACGGGCATCACTCTCTCCTTCCAGCCTTCTAGCTTCTTCCAAACTCGGTCTAACTATGCAGTGAACAGTTCCTTCTTTGACTACCCCGCAGTAGTCGCCAGTCCCATATATTTCTCATGTTCTCTACAATGTTCATACCCAGGGTACCTCCAATGATCACCTTGGCATGCGGGGACAAATTCTTACTAAAAGAGACTTCTGATTTCTGAAAGCTTACCAGCTGCCCCGACTCCCTTTCATAATCTGTCAGAATCCCATTAAGAACTGCACATTCCTGTTGACTTGATCTAGCAAAAAAAGATGATGTCATCCACGAAAAACATATGGAAGATAATCGGAGCTCCTGCATTAGGATGGAACCCATGTAACCCTTTTTCCTGAACTGCTTTCTCAGTATATGCTGGCAACCCTCCGCACACAAAAGAAAGAGATAGGGGCTCCCTGTCTAATCCCTCGTCCCGGAGAAATAAAACTAGATTGATGTCCGTTCATCAGGATAGAGTAAGTAACAGACCGTACACATACCATGATCTTCCGTATCCATTCTTCATCGAAACCCATCCTCCGCATAACCCCCTCCAAAACCCCCACTCCACTCGATCATATGCCTTCGCCATATCGAACTTAGCTGCAAAGTGACCAATCTTCCCTTTTTGTCTTTTCTTCATCGTGTGAAAACACTCAAACTCTGCCATCACATTATCTGTGATAAATCAACCAGCAACAAAAGCACTCTGCGTCGGAAAGATGATCTTGTCAAGAATCACCTTCAACCGGTTTGTAAGTACTTCGGATGTCATCTTGTATAGGATGTTGCACAAACTAATAGGTATGAACTCCATTGGCGAGGTCGGCTGCTTCACTTTTGGAATAAGAGCAACTACCGTATGGTTCAGCCCACTCGAAATCGTCTCATGATCAACAATACCTCGGACAGTTTCCCGCACATCCTCCGCTACTATCTCCCAATATTTCCTGAAGAACATTGATAAACCATCAGCACCAGGTGCCTTTCCCGTCCCCATTTGTTTGACTATTGCCCATACTTCCTCTCGGGTCATCGATTAGAGCAACTCCTCGTTATCTACCTCCCCCACCGACCTACGTATGGAATCCAGGACAAGTGTGGCCACAGGTGTTGCACCTGCAGTAAATAGACAATCAAAATAATGGTGAAGACATTCTGTGGCCTGATCCGTTCCTAGGTACCACCTCCCTGCTTGATCTCGTAGCTTCCGACTAGGGTTCCTCCTCCTACGACCAGTGGCCTTGGGAGGAAAAACTTTAGTGTTCTTATCGCCACCCTTCAGCCAATCTGCTCTCGACCGCTGCTTCTAGTATTGTTCTTCCTCTTCTTCCAGTTCCTCTAGCTCGGACTCCAGGGACTTTTTTTGCATCAACACTACCTCTGTCTTTTGAACTCTCTCCAAAGCCTTTAGGGCTTGTTCTTCGCCTTTTGAAATTAGGGAAAGCCTATCTGCTCCACATCTCAAGCCTCGCACGACAACTCTCAATTTTTTATAGTGCATCCGTCCCTCCTCCACTGGTCTACGCATCTTTTATGACACCTGCACAGTCAACATGGTTAGTCCAAAGGAGATCGAATCTAAAACTCTATCCCCACTGCGGTTCCTCGTCTTCTTCTCCTTGAGTATCACAGAAAATCAATTGTTGATTGGACTTCCTTATGTCCAAATGTCGAGCTCAAGCTTCTGAGAACATTGCCTGCCATTTTACCAATGTTAAGAATCGGTCTAGCCATTCCTCGATCAACCCACCTTCTTCTCTGTTGTTCTCCTAGGTAAACTCGTACCCCTGGAAGCCAAGATCTTGTGGACCAACATCAGTTTGACAAAATTTAGTCGGTTGCGTAACTGGTTTATTCTTTATTGAATAGTTGAAGTTAAGCTAAGTTTTGTTCACTCACGAGTCACTACCTAATTTGATTTAGTGGCTTGTTGATATCAATTTGTGAGCTGATATGTTTTGAATTGATGAGTTGCTCCACAGCGTGACTAGTGAGCTAGTTTGACCACTGACTTATGAGCATATCAATCTATAGCTTCTAATTTGGCTTATTGATCATTTATAGGTTTTGTAGACAATGTAGTCAAAATCTCGGTTTTAATTTTAAAAACTTACGATTTTACATTTTACCTATGGGTTCCGATCATGATTTTACTCTAAAATCTTTGAACTTTAAAATCCCATAAAATTCTAATTTAAAACTATAAAATCCTTAAAATCTACGATTTTGTACGATTTCAATGTTCATGCCAACTGAAGCAAAATTAGGCCGGTCAGGTCGGGTTTTGCTCATGCAGGGTCAAGTTTACTTCCCCCGACACAACATAATGAACAACACAACTCTAACCCAATAAGAGACCCTTAATTTATTTTCATCCTCTTCCTCATATCTTTCTCTCACATAGATGCTCAACTCCTTCCATCAACGATTTCTTTCACCTTCCCAATTAGCTCATAGTTTGTTCCCACCACCCTCACAATTATCTCAATCTCCATTGCATTGCAAGATTTAGTTCATCTCCCAATCCTTCAACACAACTATCCCGACCTTTTATTGATTAAGAAGGGAATACATCAATCAATAAGTTACCTTTACCAGATGATGATGGTGATCAAGGAAATATGGTTAATGCTGAAAGTACTTCAAGTGACCCTGAGAATAATGATATCATTCCTCATGCAAATAGAAAAAGTTATGTTGGAGTAGTGATGAGTCCTAGATGGATTTCTTTGATCAGAGTAAGGCAACCAAGGATCAGTCAAGAGATTGATTCCTTCTCAAATTGAAAACAACACAAAAACAGGGTTGATTTTTGGGAGGTTGGGATGGTCAATTTCGTGCAATCTCTCTCAAGGGAGAAGGCTCGAAATAGATAGGTAGAAGCCAGGCCACGAACAAGGTGTCTACTTGTTCGATACAAGCACACGAACCACTTGGAATCCACCAAGCAACTCAATCAACTCACGAAGCAAACTTGTGAATCGAAATAATCAAAGTTTTTAATCAATTGATCATAATCTAACTAATACAATGCAAGACAAGGCTTTAAATAAAACTAGGTTAAGCTACAAATACCTTAAAGGAAAACCTAAACACAAAAGAACTCAGTAAACAACTCAAAACAGGTAAAGTAATCCTAATCCGCAGAGGATACGGATTTCGTGGTGAGCAAGGCAATTTAGGCAGACTTTTGACGATCTTACTTGCTTTCGTTCGAAGCTTTCAAGGTATCAAATCAATAATCCAATCTCTTGCCTTTGTAGTAGAAAACATGTAGTTTGATGTGGTACTAAGCCCTGCCTTCAACTCTCAATCCTCTTCCTTGAATGAAGCTCCAAAGTAGCCTTCCTGAATACAGTTTGATACTTAGCCAGATTCTGATAGTTTTCATGTGTTGACAACAAGTTTGGAACAACCTTGAAAAATGCTCTTCTTAACTTTCGCTCGAGATCCCATGTAGTCCATTGTGTAGAGGGATAGATGCATCAGGTTCAAAACAAGTTTTGTAAAATATCGTAGTGCGGAATATAAACGACACAAGAATTAACGTGGTATCCTCGATCAGTTATGATCGAGACTAATCCACGGGAGAGTTTAAGCTCTCCGGCTGCAGCTATTATTTGATATCTCAGTGTTCTGGCTTAAGCCGATCAGTACATAAACATATATATCCCTGTTTACAATAAGCTACTAGGGTTTCTGTACTTGGCACGTCACTCGCATGGAGTGCATGGGCTGCACTAGTGACGTGATGAGGATGGGCCGAGGACCTCGAGTGGGCCTTGTCCAATACTCCCCCGCAAGCTGGAGCGTGGAGGTTACGCACGTTCAGCTTGGACAATAGAAAACGAAAACGGTCCGCTCCAAGGCCCTTAGTGAAAATGTCAGCGAGCTGAAGGTGAGAGCTGACCTTGAGAGGTAAAACGTCACCAGACTGGACCCGCTCGCGAATAAAATAGCAATCCATTTCCACGTGCTTTGTACGCTCATGGAAAACAGGGTTGGCTGCAATATGAAGAGCAGCCTGATTGTCACAGTATAGCGGAGTAGCCCGTGTCTGGGGAGCACCAAGCTCACTGAGCAACCACCGAAGCCACACAATCTCACTAACCGTGCTGGCCATGGCGCGGTACTCGGCCTCTGCAGAAGAACGGGCAACAACTCGTTGCTTTTTAGTACGCCAAGAAATGGGAGCCCCTCCAAGACTAATGAAGTAACCCGTGGACGAACGCCTGGTGCTCTCACAGCCACCCCAGTCCGCATCACAATAAGCTGTGAGAGTAAGGTCGTTTGACGCGGGGTAAAAAAGGCCTTGGGCAGGAGTAGACTTCAGGTACCGAAGAAGACGAACTGCGGCATCCATATGATCTTGACGAGGAGCAGACACAAACTGACTAAGAATGTTAACTCCATAGGTAAGATCGGGACTTGTGACAGTCAAGTAAAGCAGACGCCCAACTAACCGACGATAAGCAGACGGATCGGCGAGAACATCACCTGAGACAGTGGGACGAGTCAAGTGATGATTTTGTTCAACCGGGAAAGCACTTGGCCGAGCTCCGGAAACGCCAGCGTCAGCTAGGATGTCAAGGGCATATTTACGCTGACACAAGGCAACACCATCAGTAGTACGGGCGAACTCCATGCCCAAGAAGTAACGGACCTCTCCAAGGTCCTTGATGCCGAACTGAACATCCAGAGAAGACTTGACCTTGTTAATAAAGGCAAGGTCATTACCAGTGAGCAGAACATCATCCACGTAAATCAAGGCAACGACAAATGTGCTCCCCCGCCGAAAGATAAACAGAGAGTGATCGGCCGGAGAAGCACGAAAACCAAGACTGCAGAGGGCATCGGTAAATTTATGATACCAATTTCGAGAGGCCTGGCGAAGACCATACAGAGACTTGTTCAAACGGCATACTCGAGTCTCTCCCGGCTGGGCAAAACCTTGAGGAATCTGCATATAAACCTCCTCCTCAAGATCACCGTGGAGGAAAGCATTGTTGACGTCGAGCTGATGGAGAAACCAACCACGGCTGACGGCCACAGCTAAGAGACAACGAACAGTGACCAACTTGGCCACAGGAGCGAAGGTATCATGAAAATCAACGCCCTCGATCTGAGTATAACCCTTGGCAACCAGACGAGCCTTGTAACGCTCTATCGTGCCATCGGGATTGAACTTGATCTTGTAAACCCATTTGGGTGCTATGGCCCGCTTGCCGGGGGGCAGTTGAACCAATGTCCACGTACCATTAAGTTCAAGTGCATAAATCTCCTTTGACATGGCTTCACGCCAGCGAGGATCAAGGACTGCCTGTCGAAAGGAACGGGGCTCATGATTAGAAGTCACAGCCGCCAAAAAAGCATAATAAGAAGGGTGAACACCATCGTAAGAAAGAAAGTCGGAAATGGGATACTTAGCTGCGGATGCGGTGCTGGAGTCGGGATGCGAAGGACGCTGACCAGGGAGAACCGGTGTATCATATATATCGTCCAAATGACGAGGACGTTGACGCGGGCGATCGCTGCGGCGAGTTGGAGCTGGCGGAGGCTTAGGCGAAGCAGGTGGAGGAGGGGCAGCAGCCGCCACCCCAGCGGGCTGAGCAGGAGAGTCCATCAATCAAGATGTTGAGGAATGAGGGTTTGATGTTGATTCCATCTTTTTTCCTATAAGGGATAGGTTAAAATTTCTCAAATCTCTTAAACCTAGCCCCCTTCTTACTTACGCAGACACGTTTTCTCTCAAATAAGCTAATGAATTTTCCTTTCCACGCATTTTTCTCCCTACCAAAAGCCTAAGATGATTCTCTGAATCTCTTGAATGATGCCCACTAGTATCAATATGATATACATAATATAGGTTGTCTCAGCCTGAGCAATGGATTTTATTAGGGCTGGGAAAATAGACCGGACCGTTAGAAAAACCGTGGTCCAAACCGTACCGCACAGTTTGGTCTGGACCGTAGACCGTTAAGTATGGTCTGGTCCGGTTCATGATCTGTAATATTTTATGTTTTGATCTCTTGGTCTGGTCCGGTCTAGACCGCGGTTTACCGGACCAAACTGTGGGCCCAACTGACTTGTAAATACGTGTTAACAGCCCATTCGACCACTCTCTCAACTCCTACAACGACACCCAAGTCTCAACCTTAGTTTTGTGAATCACATCCCTCCTTCATTCACAACCACATTTAACCAGAGAGTAGAGATAATCGTGTCTCCATATGATATTATGTTAATGTTTATGACGTTATGGTGCAAGTTGTGATGATTTTACTTTGTATCTTTGTTATGTACTAAGATTTAGAGTATCAAAATTATTCATGCATGTTAGGATTAATGATTTAAGGCAAATAACAATTATTTTCTTAGTTATTGGTTCAATTTTTTGTGTGGTCTACTAAACAAATTGTTCATTTTTCGTTGAGTGTGGTCTATCTGGAGCAGACCGAACCAGACCGAACAGGTGTGGTATGGACCGGATCATATAGTCTGTGTTCTGCTCTGTGGTTTATACTAGCCTCTCGGTCTAGACCTTAGACCGTATAGATGGTCTAGTCTGGACCAGACCGCACCGTTTCCCAGCCCTAGATTTTATCAATACTTCATTTGTTGCAATATACAGAGACTTGCTCTTCCCCATCTTAATCTTCTTGTGTACCTTGTCGACTAAGTTACGAAACACTGCCTTTTTGCTCTTTCTATTGGAGTGGGGAGTCCCAAATAATTAAAATAATTATCGTGGTATGTCACTTGTTTCATTCCCAGAATTTTTGTTATTTCATCTCTTCTGTGTGCTTCCACATTCGAGCTATAGGAGATCTTTGACTTGTGCAAATTAACTTGTTGCCTGATTCCTTTACATAAGTCTGTAGAATCTCTTTCCAACTATGTTCTTGTCCCTTATCAGCTCAATCAAACTCAATTTCTATCCACCAATAAAATATCACGATCAAACCAATTAAATTGATAAAAAAACAATAGTGATCTCATGAAGATTTTTCACCTTCCCTTTTTGCTTTTTTCCAACTCTTTTAAGAACTAAACTTCTCAACAATTAGGTGAGTTGAACCCAAACTTATAGCATGATGCCTTAATTTTTATGAAATATGATATATGAACTTATCTTTTATATGATCAATTGATGTCCTATCTTGTTATCCATTGACCTTGGTCAAGTGATTGGGTGTTGGGGGTATTGATCATATCATAAAGGTAATTTTAATATAAATTGGTTCAATATTTAGATTTCACTTGAATCCATAAATCCAATCCACCAATCCATTTGAACCAATTTATGAATCCAATCCATCATAACATAAAAGTATAAATTTAGTTTATACCATACAAGATGTTATATCAAACATCTACTAACTACATGTAACAAAATATGTCAGATCTACATAAGCAAGTGTCAATAAATTGTTACGGTGAACAGGGTTGACTGTTGTATTGAAGACCAACTAAAAGAATTGGCCAAAAACCTTTTCATCATCTACTTACTCTTCGTTTCACTTTTCACTCGCCTTCCATAACCCTTTATTTTTTCTTTGCCTTCTTCGTCTAATCCTAATTAGTATATTATTTTTATTTGTTCTAATAACAAGTATGAACTGGTCCATACACGACTCACCAACAGTATAGAGAATTAACAATTGAACCATAAATCACTAACTTTTTCAGCTCAATGTCGAGTCCAATTAAAAATCTATCTATCTATAACTTATATTATGGCTGTTTTGGAGCAAAATTTCGCCACGTAGGATTCACGGAACTCCACAATTTTCCATGTCATCTTTTATCATTTTAGTATTCCCATAAATTTATATGTTGCACTAAGTTAAAAATAATAAAGAGATATTAATTATCATCACTAAGACTTGAACCTATAACCTTTTAGTCTCACATAATATCATTAAGAGTGTTAACCAATGTGGCAAATTTTATTTTTTGATATCAATTACAATAATATTACTACTCATGTCATGAAACGGATTTAACACCCTACCTCTGACTGTGGTCTTCTTTCTTTACCAGTTGACCTTCGACTCAATAATGAAAATTTTTGTACTGAATTTCACATAAATTAGCGCGAGAATCCATATTAGATTTTTTATACACTATATAAAATATCATTAATAAATAAAAATAACTTTCGTTCAAGTTTTCTTCATAATATGTTTGATACACAATCAAAAATATTTGAAAAAAATAAAAAATGGAAAAATAAAATGAAAAGTTGAAATTAAATTATTATCCAAATCCAACACTTATTTAATTTTTGTATCATATTCATTTCAAATGAAAAATATGAGAAATCAAAGGATAACCCTCTATTATTTTTTATCACACCAACAACATAATATTTTGAAGTGAAAATACTCATTTATTAAGTACAGTACAGTATATTATCATAATCATTTATCAATATGACATTTTCTTATACAATAAAATTACAAAAATATACATACATAGTTCAATCATGTGCCACCATGAGACAAGATAATTTCATTTGTGTAAGAATGACATTAATGGTCCTCAATTTTTTTAATCAAGTTATTTTGATCTGGCCGAAAGTGTCATTGGTAAAAGTAACTCACAAGAAAACCAAACTATGCATCAATGAAAAGAATTTGACATCTCTCATTTATAAAAATATATCTAAGTATTTTCTTAACTTCCATGCTTACTTTTTAAAATGAATATCTTTACTTATTTGTTTGATTCAATTCTAATATCTTTTATTTGGTTATATTTTTAGACATAATTCTTTTCTTTGTATCTTCTTCAATTTAAATTTGATTATTTCAACAGTTTTGTACAGAAAAATGAATTATTTTTACAATGAATTAATTGTGATTACAACACATCCATTTATATATTTTTGGTTAAAATTTCCAATCATGTATACCACCATAACATAGTTTTCATACCACCATGATATAAGACACATTAATGTACATTATTTTTTACCAAAATATATCACATTAAATGTCATTTTGTAGAGTATATTTATTTGATTTTTTATGCAAAAAATATGAAATTCGAGTTCAAACAAATAAGATAAAAAAAACTTAAAATATTTTTTTCGGTGAATTCAAAAAAATTTGAATTGTATAATTGTCAATTACTAGCATCGGTAAACGATATAGTCTGTTAAAATTAACGTGAGAATGATTATACATTTGTGTTTAATTTTAGGGTTATGTACCTGGAGTATTCATGTTTCACATCAGTAAATTTGTGAAAGAATACATGTATTATCTTTTTTAGGACCACCTACAATCACTCAAAATGAGTGATTATCAATCTTTACCAAAAGGTGAGATTGTGATTGTGACCAAGGGATTGTGTACCTTCTATTTTTTTTTATAACAAAGCACAATCTAAACCTCCAAACAAGGTATTTTTCAAATTCATACATTTCATCAATAAATCAAATTACAATACACAAATTGATTAAATACTTCAATTTGAAGAATCCTAACCTCCAAACAACCCCTAAGTTTCACAATTACCTTTTGTCTTTTGCAAAAGAAGTGAGGTTCAGTTACCCTTTTCGCATTTTGACTTTGATCAAGTCAACCCTATTTTCAAAAAAAATCTTTTCTTTTCCACATTTTTTCTCACACAATATTAGCTCCCTTTTTGCAGGAATTTATATGCCGGCTCCGCTCAAGTCTCTATCATTCATAAATAAGTTAAAATTACATTAGCCTCCACATTTTGCTTATGCTTCTGCTTGCCTCAAGTCGTCTTTGTTCCAAATTCATTCGTCATGCATTTCTAGGTTGGGTTTTCGCAATCTCTCATCTCCATTCAATTATAAATAGTAAAACTTCTTCACCGCTAAATTTACATCAATTAGTCAATGCTAGCCATCAACAAATTCATGTAAGTTGTTCGTTAAAATATCAATGAGGGAACTCAATTGCATAAGATAAAACTTTATTATTTGTAATTCTAATGATGATGGACAATAAACTATCAGCATTATTATTTGTATTGGATATTTGGTTATTGAATTATTGTTGTATGTTAATGAAAAGTGTAGAGGAGTGTCTTCATAGCTAATATTGTTATACAATTACTAAAATGCTAAATGTATGACACAATTATATATGTATATCCTAAAAAAAAGAATTATGCAAAACAAAATCTTCACTTTTTTTATCTTACGTCTTCAAATGAATTTAACACTTAACCTATTTTACTTTATTGGTTGACATTCGTCAATTTTAAAAGTGTCAACTCTAATTTTTAAATAAATTATACTAGAAAAAGATCACAAATAAATATTTTATTATGCTTTTTGTTCATAAAAGAAATCATTAACAACTAAATTTTTTGTTTCAATAAGCATTTGCAAATGTTTGAATAAAATCATACATATATAAAAGAGAAAAAATTAGTTATCAGCCAAATCCAAATTTTTATTTAACTTATCATGTCACATTCATTCAAACGAATTTTTTTTTGAAATCGAACAATAACCTTTTTCATATACTAAAATACTAATGATACAACATTTCTGTACTATTGTAGTTCTAATAATGGACATGAGTTATACGTAGTTTCAATTCGGGGATACATTTATCATAGGTTGAGAAATCTACTACTACTAGAAGGTTCAACTGTTAAGTTTGTTGAGTATTGTACATTAATCAAATAGAGAATTGAGTTGAAAACAACTTCATTTTATCATATGTAATGATAAAATGATAAGGTTCAGGTGTACATAATGATCTATAATTGTATCGTAGAGTTCAGTTTTATGGGTGACTAGATCGATCCCATCTCAATTTCTAATGGTTTTGTTAGTTTGAGATATCAAAGTTGTAAAATATTTTTGAGAGTACATAAGGATCTACAGTGGTATCTTTTGATTTTAATTATATGAGGGTCAAGACGGATCATTATTTAAATGATGGGCAAGGGTTATATGTATCACTCAGAGGACAAATTTACCATCTATTGGACAGTCTACTACCACCAGAAGGTTCAACTTCTAAGTTAATTGAGTTATAAAAGGAGAAATAATTTGAAATGACTCTGATTCGATCGTTACATATGATAATTTAAAATCATGTGTGTGAAGTTATTTTCATGAGACTGAAAATATATTAGACGCTCACAATATTTGGCCCAAACTTATAGATGCACGAAAGGAAAAATCAATGAAAAGTTATGTACAAGTACAACATATGATGTTGAAAACTGTTGGCAAATAAAAAAGAAGATGATTGTGAATGTAATCTTCAAAATAGTGATGACGTTATGACTTTTATTGTTTTACATGATTGTTGTTCTTAGGCACACCCAAACTTGATATGGTCGCTCTACTATCAAACAAAGCTCGAATAATAAATAATATTAATAAATATATACAAAGAGAAATAGTAGCCTACCACTTTTTGTAAAAGTAACAAAAAATAAAATATGCCGCCCATCAGGCGGGCACAAAACTAGTAAATATATATGGTTATTACTTATTAGAAAATTGTCATTTTCCACTATGGGATTTGAAGGGGTAAAAATGAATTTTAAGCAAGTTCCAGTTTGTACTCCTTTTGCTTATGTCTAAAGTTTTTTCTTTTTCACCTGGGCTGGAATTTTCAACAATTATACACAAAATGTTTGGCTAAGTATCTACACGTATCACATATATAGTTTCCATTTTTCTATAAAAAAAAAATTATCATCTTAAATACATCACCATAAAAGGATTAATTAAGCCTTAACTATGCAAATTACAGTGTGGTACCTAAAGTTAATATATATTTATATTTATAACCTAAATTTATTTTTTTTGGCATATAAGTCCTCAAAATATTGATGGAACATTAAATTTTAGTACCTAAAATTTTTGTGTATTACATTTTGGTATCTAAACTTTTAAAGTTCTACAAATAGATCTAATTTTTGTATGTCTAATAAAAACACCGTCAAATAAATTGGTATTCATATCCAACTCATACACATTTAGATTATGGAAGTAAATATCCATACCCTACCAAAACTCATCTACAAACTTCCAAACCCATATATGCGTCACCCATACCCTATCCATAATCAATGAGTCTGCTTGGGTTTAGGTAAATATCATTTATTAGCCAAAAATTTTTTTTTTAAAAAAAATTGGGTGTTGACCGCCGTATATCTTTTCTTAGTCAATAATATTGTCAAGTCAATACTCAATATTACTAACAAAACACCATAACGGGCCACACAATACATGCTCATAGGCCATCTCTGCCCCGCGACAAGGCGCGTCATCGCCACCTAGTAGTCTAGTACATATTTAAATGAGAAAGCTTCACTGACTTTCTCCTCTCTACTTCTCCTTCTCTTGGTATGAAGGTTTGACATTTTAGCTAGTAGGTGAGTGGACCTTGATGATAACATCTTAAGTTATGAGATAATGTTTAAATCAACGATTATTTATTCTTATCATCCAAAATTTTATGTTAGAAAAAGGAATCCCCTCTATCAAGCATTCAAGCTGCACCTATAGTGGCTGCATCTACTGCGTAAACTGAAAGTACTTGAAAGGGCACGTGAAATGTAGTGCGCATTAAACTATTACCTCATTCAACATAGACAATAATGACAAGTGTGTAGGATAGTGTACCCATTTTGATGGTGATGTAAAATTGCAGCTCGGCTATTATGCTCATAATAATCGGTATTTTCATTTTTTTCAATATTACTTATGGTGCAAATAGAATTTATGAGGACAACGAGAAAACCCATTAGAAGGGGAAAATGTATTGAAAAGTATGATATATTTGCTAGTTCATTGATGATATAATATTAATTACTAAAATAGTTTGTCAATACAATTCTTATTGTCACTCTATTTTTTTTTGTAGAAACACTCTTTTTTTGTGGCTTTCAAGACTTACATATTTATCCAAGTTATAAAGCTTTAAAGAGACGGATCGGAGTTTGCTGAAGTACTTTATCGATGATTACCGGAAAATAATGCCTTTTTGCACTTACTGCAAGATTCAAGGACATACAAAAGATATTTGCTACCACAAGCATGAGTGGCCTCTTGGAATTAACACAAGAACTTCAAGCCAAGTGGAAGATTTCTGGAGTGCCCTCAGTGTAAAAGCAAGGCCATACTAAAGATAGATGCTTTCACAAGCATGGTTTTCCATCAAGAGGAAATGCTAGAGACAAAGCTTATTCCAACAGAGCTCCAACCATTGTTTCAGATGATCCTGTTAAGCTTTCCAATGACCTTTACCTTATAGACCTCATCCTAGTAGATAGTAACCATAAACACATCATAACAGCTAACACACAAGTTTTTTATATCTTACATACAAGTAATGTTTCCCATTCCAAAATAACTTGTTAGAGGCAACTCTGTACATCCATAGAAACTAAAAACAATCTTTCTATTTATTTTATTTCTCAGTTTGCAAGTCAGAAAAGACTTGCCTTTCCTTATAGCACAACTGTTTGCACACAAGCATTTAAATTTATACATGTTGGTCTTTGGGGGGCCTAATTCTACTCCTAGTTATGATGGTTATAAGTATTCCTTGACAATTATTGATAATTTCACTATGATGACTTGGATCATCTTTTATAGACCAAGTTTTATGCTAAAACCAAATGACAAGATTTATGCTTCTATGTTCAAAGACAAATTCAAAACCCATACAAAAAAAAGTTATCAAGGAAAAGATTTTCAAATGAGTGATTTTTCAATAAAACCGGTATCTTTCATGAATTTTTCCATGTTGAAACAATACAAAAGAACAAAAAGGTTGAAAGAAAATATTATGTATACCTGTTGCAAATCCACTCCATTCTTATACATGCATTATATTCTATGGATGAATTGGTTGTTGGTAGGACTTAGATGGATGAGATTACTAGTATGAAATACGTTCTTACATCATGTGTTAATCATAAATTGAAGTTGCCAAAAGTTAGTAAATGATACGTGCGTAACTATACATATTTTATCCATTTTATATTGATTGTTTCTTGGTCATTTCATTAGAAAACACTCACTCTTTTTTATGTTATGTTATGTTCTCTTGTCATATTTCAAATCCTAGTACATGGATGAGGTTTTGGAATGGGTTTCTAGATGTTTCAATGTCAAAAAGGGACCAAGGCAAGCCAAAGAGAGAAATTACGAACATGACTTTCCTTCCCCTTAGATAGTGAAAATGTGCCAAAATCACGGCCTTGTAATGAGCATTTAAGTACGTGTATAATAGGCAGGACTCAGAGGAAAAGTCACGGGAATGCATTGAAGAATCATGATCGTGACTTTCCCATTAGTCACGATCGTGACTTCCCTTAAAGCACATAAATGAAATGAAACATTTTGATAAGTCATGATTTGGAGGATAGAAGTCACGGTTGTGACTTTCGGCTGTGAGTCTGCCACTCCCCGGGTATAAATACGACTTTGCGAATTTTTGCAGAAGAGCTTGTTTTTGGACCAAAAACAAGAGAGACCTGAGGTCTAGAGAAAAAGTGCAACTTTTGGGATTTCTTAAAGCAAAAATGGAAATAATTTACCCATTGGACGTCGAGGAATGAGCTTTGAACATGAAATTGAAGACTACATGACGATCTCTGTAGTCATGACGTTACTTTTCCTTTCCTCTATGTTCATTTCTCTCTGTATGGAGTGAATTCCCTTTTCACTTGTTTATGAGGAACGCTAGCTATCATTATGTCGTTTTATTGATTGTACATATGCTTTGACTTATTCAAATCATTATATATCTAGTCGATATATCTAATCAACTCATATTTAGTGAATTGTCTTCGTCTTGATTAAGTATTGATAGCTTCTGCTTTAACATAGGAGAGAGAATATCTAAATAAGTTAATAGAGCACCGTTGATTAGGAGTATGGAACCGATTGTGAGAGAGTGAGTCAATTTACTGCTGTGTACTAGGTGTGAATCACATAAAGCAAGTCTAGTTATGTATTGTCTTAATTGCGTATATTAGTTGAGGATATAGTTAAATCAATCTTTATGTTGTTAGTTTTAGTTGTTTCAATTCATCGTTTCTAAACTTGAATTGGCTGAATAATAGACTGCAACTAAGCAATAGTAACTCTAGAGACCCAAGGATTCAATATTCAAAACTTACTGCCACTATACTAGTTTCCTATCTTTTTACACTTTGCATAGGCTGGAGTGTTAGTTTTAGCGAACCAAGTTTTTTGGCGCTGTTGTCGCAAAATATTTCGAGACTATTAGGAAATGAAAAAGTCTATTACTTTACATTTCCTTTCTTTTGTTTACTACATTTTCTTTTCTCGGTTGTGTGTCTTAGGGTGTGCATGTGCTAGTGCATGGCCCAAAGAAAGCAGATGAACTAGGGCCTCTTGATAATAACATCAATCAGACTCTGCGGAACCTGGGAAGATAAAGAGCCTTACTGCTAGCTCTCGAGCAAGTCTAAGGAAACAAATCTTATCACTAGAGGAATAAGTAGAGACAACAACAATGGTTGGAGGACAACTTCAAGACGACGACACATGGGTTAATGCATCACCCCTAATATTGATGGGATCTAGTCTAGCATTCTGCACTCATCGATCCCCATCAATAACTTCAAAATTAAGACCAGTGCGATCTCGATGGTCCAGAGCTTCATACAATTCATGGTACGAAGAATGAGGAGCCGCACAAGCACATACAAAGATTCTTGGAGTTGATTGGTGGGATTAAAATGAATGGCGTACCAAAAGATACTCTTAGACTGTGTGCATACTTTGACTAATTGAACTCATTATTTATATCTAATTGATGCATATACAATGAATTTGCCTTGCCCTAATGAAGTATTGAAAGTTTATGCATTAACCTAGACGAGAAAATATATGAATAGGTCAATGGAGCATCGTTGCTTAGAAGTTGGGAATTGATTGCATGAGAGTGAGTCGATTCAATGCTATGTATTGGGTGTGAATTCAATAGAGGAAGTCTTGTTCTGAATTTTCCTTGATAGCCAATCTTAGGTGAGGATAGAGTCCCACTAAGGTGTCTAGTCAAGAGGGCCTTGATTGCTTTAATCGAGATTCAAGACTTGACAAATACTTTCTACAATATAAATACGGAGTGAAATAAGTTAAAGAACCATCGATTGGCAAGCCAACTAATGCTAAAGGGAATCTTTACCTAGGTGATCCTTCTCATGTAAGAACTTAGTTAAATCAATCTTTGTCTTGTTAGTTTTAGTTGTTTTAATTAATTATTTATAAACCAAATTGGCTGAATAATATACTGAACCTGAGTAATCGTAACTCTAGAGACCCAAGGATTTGGTATTTAAAACTTACTACCAATATACAACATTCTTGTCTTTGTTACACTTGGCCTAGACTGGAGTGTTACGTTTAGGGGACTAGTAATGCATTCATATATCACAAATGAAGTATACATAGAAAATTTTAGAGGTGATAGACCTCTTACACACTCCAAGCCTATGACCACAAACATGGACTACAAAGTTCACCTATCATCTAGCAATGTAGATCACTTTCCAGAACCAGAGAAATACATAAGATTGGTACTCAAACTTATCTACGTCACTAGAACAATACGAGACATTAGTTTTAGCACCCAATATGTCAGCCAATACATGTATAATTGTAGCCACGCTCAGTAAAATATTTTCATTCAAATTCTCATATACGTCACGAGTCTAAGGATGCACTTTCAAATGGTCTCCTCTTAACCTCGCCTTCTCCACTTCAGCTGAAGGCCTTCAGTGACTCAGATTGGCTTCCTACGTTGATAGAAGGAGGTCAATCACCTACTACTGTATTTAATTTGGTTTTCTCGAGTTTTATGGAAGAGCAAGAAACAAATCACCGTCTCCAGATCCTCTTGTGAAGTAGAATACAGTGCCTTTTCTTACACGACTTGTGAATAGGGATGGCAACAAAACCCGAACCCACGGGTACCCACCCGACCCAACCCGGTCAACGCGGGTAAAACCCGTGTTGACGGGTTTTGGGCCGGGTTCGGGTTTAAACCCGCTACACTATTCACCGGGTCGGGTTGGGTTTGGGTTTAGGTAAACCCGCCCCATGGGTACCCGCTCACACACATATAATTACTTTCCCATTATATTTAATATTCTAAATAATATATCTTCCTTAAATAACTAATATTCTATATGTTTGTGGAGACATGTATAATTTGTTCTTTCTAATTGTTTAGAATGAAGTTGATATTATGAAGTGGAGAGTGAAGAAACTTAGTTGATGAGGAAGAAACTTTCAATTAATCTTATTGTTTATATATGTTTATCTTTAATTTTGAACAATTTGTATTGATCATTTGCGGTTTGCTTGTATGCTCTTTTTTGTATGATTAATTTGTATGAGAAAATTGTTGTTAAACTTTTATTTTGAAAGAAACTTGTTATTGTAAATTTTTACCACAAAAACCCACGGGTACCCATGAACCCGCGGATACCCAGCGGGTTGGGTTGGGTTTGAGTTTTTCAAACCCAACGGGTTTTATCCCGGGTTTTTTTGACGAATAAACCCATGGGTTTGGGTTTGGGTTTGACAAAACCCGCCCCAACCCGACCCATTGCCATCCCTACTTGTGAAGTCTAGTGTCTCGTCTACCTTTCCACCTCACCCATCCTCAACCAGCAATACTTTACTATGACAACCAATATGTCATTTACATTGTAGAGAATCCAACATTTTCACGAGCAGATCAAACACATCGAGCTCACAGACATCTTCACCAAACCCCTGCCTCGGACGACCTTCAGCCATCTGCCCTTCAAGCTTGGTATGCTCAATTTGTGCTCACCAGCTTGTCGGGAGGAGGTATAAGTAAAGATAGTAGATATTTGAAGAAGATGATTGTGGTCCAACGTTATAAGCAACCGAAGCTAGAGTGACGTACTTTCTACCAAAATGCAAAGGTAGTAGTTTTTCACGCCCAATCCAACTTGACTCACGTCGTTGAAGAAGATGACCGTTGGTCCCAACATTATAAGCAACCAAAACTAGAGTGACGTAGTTTCTACCAAAATGCCAAATATACCCCCAATGATTTTGATTTGCACAATTTTTTCTTTCTCGGCTCGTACTCGCTTCACTTCCAAGTTTGTCTTCTCTAAAATTGTAAATCTGCTCTTACAACCACAAACTTCAACTATATAAGCTGAGAGAAGCAATGAAGTCAACCAAATTTCCTAAAGTTTACTCAACTACCTCCCCCTTGCTAATATGTCCCAACTCCCATGGAAACTCATTAAATTTATCCCCCTTGCTAATATGTCCAGCTCCCATGGAAACTCATTAAATTCAAATAGGAAAAAGTCAACTTTCTGTGTTCTTCTTTTTTTTTCTTCTAATTGATTGATGTAGGATATTGTAGTTATATATGGTAGGTTGCTGGAGCTTGAATTAATGATATCAACTCAAGAAACTTAGGTCGAGAAAAATAAAACCAATCAACTCTCTTTTTGTTTTGTTTTTGTTCTGGTCATACAAAGCCTTACAATAGAAAACATAATACCCCCTCGATCAAAGCAGCCTCCCTCGTCGTGTGTGCTTCTGCGGTTTAAACTACAATACTTAAAAGGAGCACATGAAATGCCATGTACATTAAACTATACTCAACACAGATAGTCATTGTCTACTATACCCGTCGTCTTGATGGCGATGCAAAATTGACCGCTTGTACCCATTTTCACCATTTGTTTACTCCTGATCTTAAATATATAAACCAAACCATAACCGGCTAAGCACAAAGCCTAAAACTCATTCCACCCAATTCTGATCTTCGTCCCCGCCAAACTGCAAATCGACAATCCGCCAAAGAAATCCCATTCACAAAAGAACACCAGCAAAACCCGCAAACCCACCCACCTAAAGGAAAAGCCGATTCCTTGACTGGTTTCGAATTTGGGTTTCTCCGCTTCCTCTCTTGTTCATTTCCTGCCGTCTTACAAGAGTTGGCCGAATTCAATCCGGTTTCGTCGGCAGTAAAAGGCATCGGCTACATCTTTCATTGTTCCATCAGGATCCCACAAAACCGGCTGCCTTTGCTACTAAGGCCGCCCTAGCTCTCCCCTGCTCCGTTACCTTCAATTCAACTATTGAGGGAGAAATGGGGAAGGCGGCGAAGCAGAGCAGAGTGAAGAAGGTGCTGAAATTCCCGGTGAGATTGCTTGTGAAAGCTAGGGACTTTTACGTGAACGGGATGTCCCAATTGGCCGACCAGATGCGGTACAACGCCGTTGCCACCGTGGGCTGTCCAGCCCACATCGGCTCGGCCGCACTACCTAGGAGTTTCAGCGCCGGCGGCGGATCGACGAATTCGAGGTCCGATTACAGCGAGCTAATCAGGGCGGCTTCCGTCAGGGATCATTTGGGGAACAAGAGTGTTTCTCAGAAACAGGGTCCGGCGGCAGCCGGTAAGGATTTTTCAGGGAAGGGCAAAGTCAGGGGAGGCGCAGGGAAGGTACCCAGAAGCTGTAGCGTTGGTCTTGGAAGGATTGAGGAGGAGAAGTCCGGCGAATTGGGGGAAGATTATACTTCGATTGGCAGTGGCGCTTTTCACAGAAGCAGAAGTTGCGCCGTTTCTGCCGCCGGCGGTGTACTCGCCGGGACAAGGACGGGTAAATTCCAGAAGCCAGTGGCAATTACAGCAGCTCTAGCCTAGCTGCTTTGGGGAGAAACTGCTTAGGTCTGTTAATCAAAAGTCAGCATAATTGTACTCTGGGCTTGCTCTGTTCTTCCCCTGCGTCTCGGCTCTGTGAAATTCTTTCAATCCCGAATCTCTGATACATCAAGGAAAATACCCTTTTTCCCATCTCTTTTTTGCCTCTGGCTGTACAATATACTGGTGTGTTTGGTGTCGATTTTTGAGAGAGTTTTCTGTAAACTCGAATTTCTTTGACTATGAGTATGCTGGTTTAACGGTGGGTTGTTTCCCAGAATCCGACACGACCGTTGAATTAGAATCTGAAGAAACCGATAAGTTGGATCAATGGAAAGTGTATCTGTGGATTTCTGCTGATAATATAATTACTGCCTCAGCCTTTTTCATCAGTTGCTCCAGACTTTCTCCTCTTCCATCGGCTTCTTCGAATTATTAGAGAACAATAAAGGTTATATATGATGAATTCCTACCACTTGGAATGGGTTAGGTGATTACTTGTTTTTTTATAATCACGGGTGGCAACCTCTTTATATACTATTTGATTAATTATTTTGTCTTCTTTTTTAATCTTACGGTTAAGATTCTTTTACGATAATTTTGGAAAGGGTTATAGGTATAATATGCCTCTCTATTATGACGTTTTATCAAACATGCCCCTCTACTATTTTTTACATCAAATATGCCCCTGTACTTTGAAAAAATTATCAAACATGCCCTTCTGTTAAAAATTCCATTGAAAAAATCTTCAATCATGGTTGAATTGAGATTTAGACGACCCGACATCGACAAATGGGAGGGAAAATGTCAGTTTTGTCCCCTGTTTTATTTCCTTTGGTCTTTTCAAAGTGAAATTATTTGAATGATTTGATTATACAAAAGAACCAAAAAGATTCTAAAGTGAATTTATTAGGGATATTTTAGTCATTTGTGTCGCCCAAACTAAAGTTCGGCGTTGATTAATGATTTTTGGATTAAAATTTTAACAAAAGGGCATGTTTGATCATTTTTACAAAGTACAGGGGCATGTTTGATGTAAAAAATAGTAAAGGGACATATTTGATAAAACGTCATAGTAGAGGGGCATATTATACCTATAACCCTTTTGGAAATTAAAAAGTGACCACACCTGATTATTCTATATAATCTACCTAAACCCTAGTTCTATCCTCCCTCCAGCCAAACCCGTCGCAGCCGCCTCCACGTACCACTCCCGTCGCACCACCGGAAGCAGCCCCCCCTCGGTACCCTCCCTCTCTCTCTCTCTCTCTCTCTCTCTCTCTCTCTCTCTCTCTCTCTCTCTCTCTCTCTCTCTCCTTTTCCCTCATCTACTAAGAAATCATCGCCCCGCTGCTATCCATGGCGATCCCGATGTCGAAGGCGCTGATCTCTGTGCTACTCACCCTGCTCTTCTTCGTGTCGTCGGCACTGTCCGCCTCTGACGTCCCGTTCATCGTGGCACACAAGAAGGCAACGCTCAACAGGCTCAGATCAGGCGCCGAGCACGTCTCCGTCTCCATCGACATCTACAATCAAGGATCCTCGTGAGTTTTCACTTCCCTTTTATTAATTGGTAGTTTTCCATGTCGTAATTTCTACATTTTAGTGGTAGGTCGTCCTTGTATTGGTAGTTTTCGTAATTTCTACATTGGTAGGTCGTCATTGTATTGGTAGTTTTCGTAAATTGAGTGGTATAGATTGTTTATATTGGTAGTTTTCGTGTAATGATATAGATTTATTTATGCAATGGTATTGATGTTTTTCAAAGTGGTAGTGTTTGTCTAATGGATTGGTACCGATTTCATTTTTTTTGCAGAAAGATTGAGAAAAATATGGAAAGGAAATCTGGCTGGAGATCACGGAAGTGAGAGAAATAGAGAATTTTAATTAATAGATTTTTGTAACTACCTAAAATGTAATTTATTAAAAAATTAATTAATATAATTTATTTTTTCATACCCAATTTACCCTTAGTAACCACAGTGATTACTACTTTTGTAGTAATCACCGTAACCTGTCCCCCTACCACTTTCTAAATATTGGTTTCTTTGATTGTAATATTACGACTTAGAATACGTTCAATAACCATTGGTCAATAATCATTGGTAACTAAATCTGAACTTTTAGATCTAAGTAAGCTTAGAAAATCCAGATCTAAAAGTTATCAATTAAAAGCATTTTATTTTCCCTAATTTTCATAATCGACTCTTATCTTTTTCGTTCTAACTAGGATTTCAATTTTTTGCACAGATGGAACGAGTTCGTTGTGCTCTTCAAAATGAGATAAATTTTCAATATATTTCGAGAAACTTTTTTTTTTACCAATTACATACTATATTGTAACTTCTTCATTTTTAAGTCGTTTTTTAAAACATTTGCTCAAAAGGAACGAGTTCATCATGATCTATTGGATCTACAAATTTATGGGTGAAAAAATAATGGACCAAAAATTACCATACTTTACCACAATGGTATGTGGGTGGTAACTTGTAGTAAACAATGATGAAAGTCGTAAATGACAATTAGTATACTCCTACTATCATGTAATCAACCTTCTTACCATATTGGTATGTTCATACCATCATGGTACGCTTTCTTACCATATGGTATTAAATAGGAGCATATCATATGGTAATGACTAGTAAAAAATTATTCAATTTTTTTTGTACTAAAAATATATCAAAGTGGATATCATTTTAAAAAGCACATTTAATATGATTTATCTATGCAAAAAAAAAATCAACTTAAAACGAGAAAGAAATCGTCCGTTATAGATTAAAGATAAAAGATTTTCCAGGAGAGAGAAGGATACTGATGTCATGCTGATGTGAACGGGTTACTTATGGTTACTAACCATAAAGTTATTGATTCCCTAATATTACTCAATCTAATAGGTTAGACAGCTAATTAACATCGTGCTCCATGATGGTCCTTACTCTGATCAGTAATGATTAGGGCTGTCAACCGGTCGGTTTCGGTTTAACCGAAAACCGAAATCCCGGTTATCGGTTAAACCGAGCAACCTTACATACTTGCCGACCACCGACCGTGAGGGTGGTCACGGTTAGCCGGCCAACCGACCGGTCGGTTTCGGTTTTAGGCTCGGTTAGCCGACCAACCGGAAAATACCCTTTATAAAAAAATAAAAAAAAATTAAAAGGAACAAAATTCTGAACCACTCGATTTCTTCTTCTTCCTTCTCACTTCTCGATTCTTCTTCTTCCTATCCACTTTCACCATCTTGATTCTTCTTCTTCCTTCTCTCCTTCCTCCATGTCAAACCCACAACACCCACCACTCCTTCCTTCTCCCTCCTTCCTTCTCCCATTTCAGATCTGGAAACACAGAGCAGAGGCGCGGCGGCGGCAGCGAGTGGAGGCAGAGGCGCGGCGGCGACGAGTGGAGGCGGCGGCGAGTGGAGGCGGAGGTCGAGCCGCTGCTGCCTGCGAGTGGAGGCGAAGGTCGAGCGGCGAGGCGACGATGGCGGAGGCGGCGCGGCGACGTCGACGATGGTGGAGGCGTCGGTCGTGAGGCGCGGCGACAGTTCTTCTTTCTTCTTCTTCTTCTTCTTCTTCTGGGTTTTCAAGGTCTTCTGGGTTTGAGAGGTGAAAGAGAAGAGAAGAGAGAGAGGATGACGGAAGAGAAGGGTTAGGCTCGGTTAGGGTTTTGGGGGGGGGGGGGGGTCGGTTTGAGGGGGTCGTTTTGAGGGGGGGGGGGGGCGTTTTGAGAAGGGGGGCCGGGTCGTTTTGGTTAGGCTCGGTTAGTCGGCTAACCGCCGGTTTTCAACCTCGGTTGGTCGGCTAGCCGAGCCTTCTCCCCTTGATACCGACGACCGACCGACGCCATTGGGATCAGTTTTTCGGCTAGCCGAAAACCGGACGGTTCGGTTGAAACCGTCCGGTTAGCCGCTAACCGGAAAACCGTCCGCCAACCCTAGTAATGATTGAATTTGATAGTGGTAAATACTAGACATTCATTTGTAATAATAACAATTGAAGTTTCGGTTTTACGTGTTTCTTTACGAATAAGCAACCTCATACTTCATCAAAAATATTGTAAAAAAATTACATATCTAACCACACAATACATCTCGATTGATACTTCAGTACAATACTGTCAACACAGAAAAATCAAGTCATCCTACAGAATCTAAAAAAGAGCGATAGTTCTACTTTTTTGTCAATTCAATCTCCGGGTAAATTACAAGTTTAATCACAGCGATTACTAAAAAAATTTACGTTTGCTACTAAAGTTATTTAATTTCATCATTGGTCACTAAGATTAGTTCAACAATTCAAGTTTGGTCACTCTCCATTAGTGTCCGTTAACTTTATATGATGTGATAGTTAACTCTGAGAGTTGACTGTTAAATAAGTGACGTGGCAACTTAAAAAAAAATTTATATTTTAAAATTTTCACCTCATTATCACAATAAATTTAAAAATAAATAAAACAAAAAAGTTATCTTCCTATTCACTGACATCAGCTCCTTGCTGCAACCCCCATGACGAAACGATATATTCAAAAATACGTGATCTGATTTGATAGGCTGCCTGCAGAAATAGTTTACCGACCGCATAACAATTCATTCTTGTGTATAGCGCGCAGGACCATGATTCCCGACCGTGATTTTGTCACTATTAGGTATAAAAGGAGTATGATATTTTTCAAGAGAGAGATGTTTTTACATAAAAGAAGAGATTGAGATGATCCCTAGAGAATGTGTGTGACTTTGGAGACTTCCTACAACGAAATTTGGTGATTCTTTCACAATTGGAGCTCAAGGAAGAAGCTTGGAGGAAGGAATTGAAGATTACAAGATGATATATGTTGTAGGTTAGCTTTGGATGATATAGGTTAGGGTGGTTACTAAATTTTGAGTAATCACGGTGGCTACCAACATCTATACCATTCATTATCTTTATTTTATTATATTTTTAAATTAACGATTAAGATTAGCTAAGGGTAATTTAGGAAATGAAAAACATACCACACCTGATTACTCTATATATTATACTCAAACCCTAATACAACCTATCTACCTAGCCGCCGTCTTTCCCTTCTCCCACCCCACAACCGGCCTCCCTCCCTCCGACCACCCCAACCCCACCCCCGTGGCCGGCCGAAGAGACTGCTTGTGTTTGTGTTTGAATCTAGACATGACTACTCAGTGTACTATCTCTTCTATAATTTGGTTTGGTGAATGAATTTTCATGGCAGGCCGGCCGAAGAGGCTGCTTGTGTTTGTGAACCCGTATGGCGGGAAGAGAATTGCTCCCAAGGTGTATTTGGATTATGTGAAGCCATTACTTGAGGAGTGGACCATTTGTTTCAGCCTGGCTTCATAATGTTCCTTGGGGTGCTGAAAATACCATGGCAGCTCCTGACGCGAAGGTTGGTCTTACTATTCTCTGTTCCTCAGCTCTCTAGTCTGTCGCAGTCAATCATAAGCAAAAACTCAATGGAGTTCTTCTGGTCGACAGATTCGCTGGAAAAGGTGGGATGAATAAAAACCCTAGATCTGATTTTTTTCCGCATTGGTAGTGATTTTTTCGTAGTGGTAGTGTTTTTTTGCATTGGTATTGTTTTTGTCGCATTGGTATTGATTATCATGTAATGGTATTAATTTGCATATATTGGTATGGATTCAATCTGCAATGGTATTGATTTTTTGTGAAATGGTATAGATTTATATTGGTAGTTTTCGTGTAATGGTATAGATTTATTTCTGCAATGGTATTGATATTTTTCAAAGTGGTAGTGATTGTCTAATGGATTGGTAGTGATTTCATATTTTTTTTCTTTTGCAGAAAGATTGAGAAAAATAAGGAAACGGGATCTGGCTGAAGATTATGGAAGTGAGAGAAAGAGAGAGAATTGTAATTAATAGATTATTGTAACTACCTAAAATGTACTTTATTAAAAAAATTAATTAATACAATTTATTTTTCACACCCAATTTACCCTTAGTAACCACGGTGATTACTACTTATGTAGTAATCACCATACCCTGTCCCGTGGTTCTTCCTGTCCTCTCTATGGAGTAAACTCTATTTTCACCTGG